GGGGATGGAAGGATAAGTCATACCCACAACAGTTGAAGCTTCTTGGATGAGAAGCGAAACTACTACTTCTTCCTCAAGGAGAAAACAAAGTCCAGTTGCCTTTTGAAAAACACCCTTGAGACAATCGTGACCTGGATGACTAAGAATCTCTATAGACAGGCTTCTATGTGCGCTGAAGCCTCGGTGAGATTAGGGGTCCTTCTCCCAAATAGGTTGATGAGTCATACTGTACAAAATGGGTTTGCTATTAAGCCATATACAAAGGATTGCAGTTGACTTCTTGAAATAGTAGTGAATCCCCGAACAAGTAGATTCATTGGAAACTTTGTAAGGTTTCTTGATCGATAAAAGTCCCAACCTTCTCTGCAGACATTGGGGACTCTGATCAGGATTGTTGGGCACTTTATTGGAATATAATCTCAGATTTGTAATATTTTCTTACAGCTGGAATTCCATACACATTGCAAGTAATATTCCAGAAACTCCTCTTAAATATTTGCTTTTAAATTACAGCAAATCACCAAATCTTGGGATTTAGCTAGCATAAGTTCGCACATTTGGATATTGTTCACAATAGATAAAGCTCAACAGAAAATATTGCCGATCGATTACAAGCTTGAAAACTTTGGGAGAAATAGCAAACTTGGATTTGTCTGTCTGCATCTGGTTAATGCAATGATTATTGTGTCTTCATGGCTATCACCTACTTAATATTTATCCATCCTCTGTTGCCATATATCTAAGCAGATACCTCCCTTTTAAAATGTATTTAATGTATCTAATGTTGCAAATGGTTTAGATTAATGCTTGTAAATTAGTTATTTTGTGATATTTGGACTTTTGATAGTTGTCCGGCAGTAAACCCATTGAAGAGGCAAAGGAAGCTGGAAATACATTTCAGTTCTTCCCTTAATTAATATATTTTAAACTACCCAATGCATTTTTGTGCCTCCCTTTGTAAATTGTGGTTAAAAGTTACCCTTTTAGGCTACTGTTGGGACGTGGCAGCAAACATTCCCACCTACCACCCACCTTCCCCGTCCATGATTAATGTGTCATACGTGCTTGCTTGCCCAGCAGACCCACAATTGGGGACAATTCTTAAGAAGCAAAAGGGAAACAAGTTTAGTGGCTCTAGCAGTGAGCTGTAATCAATGGCTTACACACTTCTATGTGCAAATTCTATCACCACCTCCTTTTTTTTTTAAGCAGCACTTTTTAAAATCCACTTCCAGGGTTTTCAGTTGAATGCATGGGATTTTGTGCCACCTGGCGGCCCTTCTTTTAAACAGCATTTAAACGGTGTCTAAAGAGCAGTATCTGTTTTGGGAGATCGACCACAGAAGACAATCTGATCGTAATGAATTCACTCTTATTTCTCTTCCTTCCTCTTCTCCCTCCCCACCTCCAATCTAATATCTTTGTGTTGCAGCCTCAGATTGTTCTGGGTAGTCCTGCACAAACAACAGCATTAGGAACAGCGACTACTGTGCAGACTGGAACCCCTCAAAGGACGGTGCAAGGAGCCACAGCAACCTCCACTGCGGCTACAGTAAGACGCTGATTGCTATTTGCTGCAAGGCAAAAAGGCTGTTCTTGTTAGCTCACTAAGAACAGAATCTCCCCTCAAATAAATGGAATGTGAGATTATTGGTAGAGTCCTATAGACCAGGGGTCTCCAACCCCCAGTCCATGGATCCATACCAGCCCGCGGCATGCCAGAAACCAGGCCACGCAAACAAGCGAAGCCCCATCCGTGAGTTGCAGGCAGCATGTTGAAGCCACACCTCCTCCGGTCCACGGAAAAAACTCTCTCCACAGAACCAGTCCCTGGTGCCCAAAGGGTTGTGGGCCACTGCTATAGATTATGACATACTTTCCAAGTATGAAAGTACAGTCTCTAAGTCAGGTAGTCCTTGATTTACAACCACAATTGGGAACCGGAGTTCCGTTACTAAGCAAGGGGCTGCTAAGTGAGTCGCACCTGATTCTATGACCTTTATTCCCACAGTTGTTAAGCGAATCACTGCAGTTGTTAAGTGAATTATGTAGACATTAAGTGAATCCTGCTTCCACCATTGACTGTGCTTGTTGGAAATTGACTGGCAAATGACGATCACATGACACTGCCGTTATTGTAAATACATGCTGATTGCTAAGCGCCCAAATTTTGATCCCTGACCGTGGGGACGCTGCAATAATTGTAAGTGTGAGGACCAAGTTATAAATCATTATTCAGCCCCCCCACTGCAACTTTGAAAGGACACTAAACGGAACAGTTGTTATTCAAGGACTACCTGAATGTTGTGAGGCTATAAATGCCAATGGGAGCGAATATAAAAGTTACTTGGGTGCTAAATTCTTCACTAAAATGACCTACTATGTGTTCTGACCCCCCTCGTCCCACACCAACACACTCCGAGTCAAAGATAAGTTACGGCATTTAATTAACAGACAGACAGGTCCTTGGCAGCAAACCGGCACAG